AGAGAGAGAAATAGAGGGAGATTGAGTATAAAGCATTACTATAAACCAGCGGCTACTTTATTTAGCGTTTATGCTTCAATGTCAAATTAGCGACTATTAAAATTAGCATTTTAGGCCATTCACTAATATTGCTAAGATTAATAGCACACCTAAAATTACTACATGTAGTTTTACAGTAGTTATTTTTCTTTAATTTAGGTTTTCAAGTTGAGGTTGATAAGTTCTTTATCTATTTCCTTGGGCTCATGTTAGTTGCCATTGCTGCCTCCTCCTCTGCCTTTTGGGTCAGTGCTGGTGTCACTGTGGCTGGTTTAGCTAATCTACTGGTAGCTCTCACTTATGTGGTACAAATGGTATGTAAGAAATTGGGTATATTTTTAGTAAAAATAATAACTTAAATGTGTTGTACGATATATAGTTCAAATTGATAATACTGTATAGTGGGAAGTTTTGGAGGGAATTAAATTTGGCAAATTTGGCATTTTGATAGCCAATTGCCAAAATAAAAATCTATCATTTCCAGTGATTATGCGCATGCTCAATAGCATGTGGCTACAAATTTGCCGAATTAAAATTTGCTAATCACCAAAATTTGCCAAATTTAACTCCCTCCAAAATTTCCTGGCTGCTATCGGTACACTCTTTTAGTAAAAATTTGTGTCAAAAACAATAAAATTTAAAAGAGTAAACTTTTGTATTGTATTCTTGCACATGTTAGTATATTTTAGTATACTCTTGCACACCTCAGTATATTATTATTATACGTGTTCCATCCAGTTATTTGGTGGTGTTTTACTAACACTGGATACTATACCAGTCTGGATAAGATGGCTGCAATACGTCTCATTGTTCCGATACTCAATTGAAGCTATTGTAGTCAATGAAGTTGATGGACTGTATTTTAATCAAACAATGTAAGTCATAATCATCTCTCTCTTCCTTCTTCCTCCTTCATTTAATATTGATTTAATTTTAATTTTATTAATTACATGTATTTTATAGTACTGTTGTATGTACATGTACACATATACATGTAATAAAATTTGAATATCACGAATAATACAGCAATCTTTCTAAAACTCTTTTTTAAAACTTTTTAAAACTCTCTCTTTCCCTCTCTTATATCAAATTTGTCATTGATTATTGTCTATAATACTCATATTCACTGTTCAACATGAAATTAGCTTTGCTATTATTATAAATAAAAAATACTAACAATAATAATTTTAGAAATAATTTCTAAAAATTAATAGCACATGAAAAAATACACTCTGCTATATTGCTTCATTCTCTCTTTCTCTCTCTCTCTCCTAGTAATGGTAGTAGTGTGTTAGTTCCTGGTAGTGAGTTATTGTCATTTCAAGGATACAAGACCAGTTGGTTGTGGTATGACATGATTGGACTAGGAGGACTCGCTGTTCTATTCCTAACACTAACATACATTACACTGAGACTCATTAAGAAAGAAAAATAA